TTAAAAAAGATTCAAAAGTTACAAAGTTTTCTTTATTGAATGCTTATTAAGTCTTGAACAAAAATAAATTTAAAAAAATTTCTTCAGTACAAAGCGTTTCACAGTGGCAATGCTCTTTTTAAGGCACTCTTTTTAATAGATTTTACTATTTATTGTGTAATTGTGACAAAACTTTGTGTGTCCACGTTGACATATTTGGCTTGCCAAACCATAATTGTTTGGTGGGAATTTTTTTAGTTTTATTGTTTTAAACTTAGCCTTTACTTTTTTTCATGGAGACTCCCATATAAATGATGTCCTGGAATTGTTTTGAAATTTAGTTTCATATAAGTTTCATCATCCATATTTATATATATTTTTTTCTACACAATAAATTGTATAATTTTCCTGCATGACTTCTTGTCTCTAAATTTTTTTCAGTATTGCGATCTGGGGTTTTATACATCTTGAAAGACTAGTTTTGCATTTTAGTGCCAAATGACGCTCAGAAATTTTAGGGTTTGACCTTATTTTTGCCAAAACATTTGTTGGAAGTTTTAATAATAGTGCTTTTTGAACATCCAACAGTTTTTTAAGAGGAAAATTAGGACTTTTTACTGAGTGTGCAAATTTGCATCATGCACTTGTTGCTGTTTCGTTGTCATTTTGAATGTTAATAAAATTAAAAAAAAAAAACATTTTAACTGAAATACTAATACATAAATAATTGTTTTTCTGTATGATAGCATTCTTTACGATCTTTTTAGTGGCCCTATTATAAGAAACAGAAAGTGTCAAACCTTAACCCCACCTTTATGCAAAAATTAAGTATAAATAAAAAATAAAAAAAGTATAAATAAAAAAAAAAGAAAGTATAAATTAAAAAAAATTACTGTTATCATAATCATAGTCTTTTTTTTTGAGAATGATAAAAATTGTTGTGTTATACTTTTCTACTTTTAAAATTAAAATAAATTGTATTCTACCATTCTTCACTATTATTCAAACAAAGAAAAAACTACCTGTTCTGGATTAAATGGTTTATCATTTTTAAAAGTGCTGTGTATCTGCTATCTCATCAATTTATTCTTCACTTTCAATAATTGTAGGTCTTGGTTGTAGGAACTAAAAAGGGTTTGGGTGCTTTAAAATCAAAAAGATGGTTTGAGTGCATTAAACCACACTTTCATATTTTTTTTAAAGATAATAGTGGTAGTGGTGTAGTGGATGCGCGCTCGCTTCACAAGAGGTTCCAAGTTTGATCCCCACCACATCTCTGGTAGTACTGCGATGAAAATTTTTCCTTGCAGTGGCCTTATTTGTCAAGGTTAGTGTTTCAGAGTTATAGAGTTGAGAGAAGGTTATATGAGAGAGGGTTATAAGTTATAACTACAATTAAGTAGCCTCCTTGTCGGTAGTGGCCTTCTCGGCCTTGGGGAGGTGAATTAACATTTAAAAAAGGATAAGGTCTTTTCTTTCTAAATTAGTAAACTTAAATTGAATTTAAACATTTTAAGAGGATAAATTACATTTGTCATCTAGCTAAAGTGGTGGAAAGCTTCTGCAATCAAAAAAGTCTTTTGATGGAAGATGTCCCAAATATATATTGCAAAGTTTAATCAATTTTTTATAATCATCCCTAGGGTGTTTAAAGATGTAGAGGATATAGATTATTGAGTATCAGTCTGTATCATTATTGAGTATGAGCCTGTAGAGAGTTTTATGAAAATAAAAAATTAAAAGACAAAAGTAAGAAAAAACAGGTGATACAAAAAAAAAACTGGTGATACAAAAAAGCTTCATGGAACTTCCATATGAAAGCATCAGACTTTTTCATAAAATGCATTTTAAGTCACAGATTTTGCTGATTTTTACACTATTTAAAAATTTTATGAGCACCCCCAGAATTTTAAGTGTCAGATAGTTATACCTTCAAAAACCTAGACCTTCTAAGTTGTTCTACAAAATGAACTAATAAAAGATCTACTAAAAAAAGATCTACTAAAAGGTGAAACTAATTTTCATATAACTTATTGAGGCCTACATTGTTTTCAACTGATTATAGTATTTTTTATTTTCAACCGATTTATGATGTTTTCATTTTCGACCGATTTATTTTTTTACATAAAAAACATTTTCATATTTATCAAACTGAGACAAATAAACTATAACACTATAACACAAACAAAGCACTGGGAAAAAAGTTAGAAACTCAAGAAACAAAAATAATTGAAAATCTAAAAATATTTAAACTCTACAAATTACATTTAACTCCCTATATAATTATTAATTATCGACAGTATTAGAAACTTTTGACTTCATAACTTATTAAAATCCTAAAGTGGTGCAAAAATCAGCAAAATCTAAGACTTTGCATGCCCTGAATATTTTCATGTGAAAATGGCTTTCAGTTAAAAAAAAAGATGTTCATGGTATAGTTTTGTACCTTGAAATTAACTGAATGAAAAATAAATTAAAATTAAATTTTTTTTTTTAAATTGTTTATCATGTCATGTCAATTAAACCATATCATGCCAATGTGAAAATAATTTCTTATCCTTTCTGTGAGATAACCTAGTTTTTTTTTCATTTATTAGACGACTTGGTTCATTTGTTTGTTGGAATGTTTCCAAAAGTGAGGTAAATTTTTGCTTATATAAAGTGAAAAATATATATAGACAAGTTTTAAATAAAAAACTGCTTAGCTCTTCATGATTTTGACAACATAAAATTAATTTTTTTATTTAAGGATTTAAATTTTATTTAACTTTTTTTAAACTACCAAAATAAAATAAAAACAGTAAAACAACATAAAGACTAACTGCAAGAAACTAACCGCAAAACAAGTATTGTTTACTAATTAAGAAAAACAAATGTAGAAGTTTAATTTTTATTTTTTATTTTTTGTTATTTCATAAATGTACATATTTTTGTGGAATGTCTATTTTGTTTCTTTTTTTTTTAAATTTTAATTAAATTTAATATTACATTTTTTATTATCATTTGAAATAAATTAATTTTGATTAAAAATGAAAACAAAAAATATGAAATCACTTGATATTGTTCAAATGTAAAACGCAACAATAATAAAAAAAATTAACACCACACAAAAAAAAAATCCATGACAGTATAAACAATACACATGAATACGTCAATATAAATGGTGCACAAAATTACACAACAGTAAAAACAAACACAGAAATACATGATAATATCAAAAATACACATTATATACAATACACAAAAATACATGACAACATAAACAATGCAAACAACATAAATTAATAAAACTTTAAAGTTGTTTATTTTTGTTTTCTTTTAATAACTTAAAGTTTTTTATTTTTGAATATCTCAGGAACATTTTTTCTTTTAACTTTGCTTTTAGTTGTTCTGTTTATTTATTATTTTCATTAATTTATATTTTTAATATTTTCATTGTTTTCATTTCATTAGATGTTTTTTTTTTAACTGTTACTTAAGTTACATATGAATAGAATAAATAATAACATAACTTAAAAGACAAAATATAAAAAGGTGTTTGTTTTTGTGTTTTGAATTAGTTAGGTGTTGCTTTTTTTTTTAATTAATTTTTTTTTTTGTTATTGTTTGGTATGAGAAATTGCCTAAATATTCTTGCTTTTGCAAGATGTTAAATAAAAAAAATTTTATTATGTTTATTTTATGATTTCTTTTTTTACGCACCTATAACATCTTTTCTCTTTACATTTTTAATAGAAAAGTTATGTTAATAAAAATAATTTTTTTTTTGTTTTTTTTTAAGTTGTTACATCTGTAAACAGAATATCAAATTTTTATGCAAACTTTTTTATGTAATTGTCATTCAAACTTCATAAATGCTTTTTATAACTTCTTTTATCTTACCGCTTGTTTAAATATTAAAAAAATGGCTACTTATGTGAATGGTATGTCAGTTTACGCTTTAAAACAAGGCCTGTATGTATATTTCTATGTATGTATTTCCATTAGGGATGCGGAGTCCCAAAAAGGACTCCGGATTTGAAAGTCACAAAAAATTACTTCTTTCTAGTTTTTGGTATCCAGGAGCTTTAAAAATATAAAAAAGGTTATGAGTTACTAATGGGGAAAAAATCAAGACTTATAGGTCAGAAGAACAATCAATTTTTGAACCCGCAGTTGTTAGGTATAATGGCGGCTAAGATTCCGGGACTCTTGGACTCCCGGCTTAAAAACAATAAGTTCCAAGTCATTAAATATCATAAATTTTTTTCTTATAGCAGGTCATTAATCAACCAACATGTTTAGAGCTTCTGGACACCAAAGACCATAAAAAAATAAAGTTATATCCTTTTGGGGCTCTGCATTCCTGGTTTCCATGTATATGTGTGTATGTATTTCCATGTATATGTTTGTATATTTCCATGTAAATGTATGTATATTTCCATGTATATGTATATATTTCTATCTGAGTAGCACTATTTTAGTAAGAATTTTTCAAAAAATAGTCATGAATTTTTTTTTGTGTGCAAATTTCTCTAATATATTTGTTTTTGTGTGCATGGAATTTTTTAATTATTATTAATTTTGTCTTCTAAAAACACAGTTACTGTAACCTTAGGTCTGCATTTTTAATCACTATTTAAAAAAATGCTGGTAAAGAAATATACCGGGTTATGTGTGCATAAATTGATAGACTAATTTCTTTTTGTGCTAGGTGTGGTTTTTGAAAAAGTTGTTGTCACAGTATGAGAAGTCGCCATTCAGTCTTATTGATACTCATGAAGTGAACGAGGAATTGAATTTTTTCATTACCAAGTAAAATATTTTTAAAAAATCATTGTACATTGTTATTTTCAAATATTTTAGATAGAAAGTGAATCTCTTATGAAATTTCTATATATTTCTATAAACAATCTCTATGAAGTTTCCTTATAATATTTTTTTTAGTGGAGTTTGACTGGTAAGTTACAGGAGAATCAAATTTATATAAAAAATTATTTTTTACTATTTAGACCTAGTTTATTTAGACCTAGTTTATTTAGACCTAGGTTATTTAGACCTAGTTTATTTAGACCTAATTTATTTAGACCTAGTTTATTTAGACCTAGTTGATTTAGACCTAGTTTATCTTAGTTTGATGCTTATAGCTTTTTTTTTATTTTCTTTAATTAAAAATATTTAAAAAAAATCAATGATTACAATAGTTGATGTATATGAAAAATATAAATTTTTCACTTGATTTTTTTTTTTATCAAAAAATCAAAAAACATATCAAAATGTTTTTGCCCTTTCCTTCATTTAATTCATCAATGCATTTCAAATTTTATTAAAATATATTTTTGCAAAGTTATGGCTAGAAAATTTTTTTTTTAATAATACATATATTCTCTTGTTAAAATTTGCCATACCAAAATATTTTTTATGATGTATAATGATTGGGGTCAGTGTGACAACATCAGTTTTTACCATGTCTAATAACATCTGTCCAACAATATCTGTAAATATAATGATGTATAATAACATCTGTTCAACAAAATCTGTAAATACAATGAAGTATAATAACATCTGTCCAGCAACATCTGAAATTTCATTGATGTCTAATAACATCAGTGCAAAAAGTTCAATAAATACTATAGATGTAGTTACATCTTTTAAATTATCTATGTATAACAACATCTGTGCAACTAAATTTTTTTACAGATGTAGTTACATCTGTAAAATTCTATTAACAAACATGTTTTGGCACATTTCATAAATTTATATGTGATTATTGTTATTATAGAATCATAAAAGATTTTACATCTGGGTTTATGACTAATTATGCTATTATTTGATTTTGCTTTTAATGAATATTTTATCTAAAATACATTTATTTTTATTCAAAGTTCAGTTTTAGTTATTTCTGTTTTATTAATTTTTTTTATGAATTATATATGTGTTATTTATGAGTTTATTTTTTATTTACTTAATAAATGAAAACTTACTTGAATTTACTTGCCATACATTTTGTCAACAATGTATACTTGTGTTAAGGAAATAAAATAAAAATTTTGAGAAGAAAATGTAAATAGGTTAAGAGGATAAAGTAAAAATTTTGAGAATAAAATGTAAATGGGTTAAAAGGATAAAATATAAATTTTGAGAACAAAATGTAAATAAGTTAAGAGGATAAAATAAAAATTTTGAAAACAAAATGTATAAAGGTTAAGTTGATAAAACAAATTATTTTTATTTTTTATTTATTTTGTATATACATTTTACTTCTAGTCACTAATATTTTATGTTATCGAATTCTTATTTATGATTGGTTTATGAACTCTTATTTATGATTAGTTTATGATTCTAGTGGAGCTTCATCATTAACAGATGGTGATATCTACCTTAGTAATAAACTAAATGAGGAAAATCAAGCATTAGAGAAAATGGCATTTTCAAATGCCGTTGCATTGTCAGGTATTTAGTTATTTTTTAGCATTTAGTTTTTTAATATATGGTTTATGTAATTTAAATAAATATAAATTTTATGTTTTTTATATTATTTTTAATATTTATTATGTTTTTTAAATTTCATTAGTTGAAAGATAAATTTCTACAATGGCTTTCTTTTTTTTTCTTTTTTTCTTTCTTATTTTTACTTACACTAAAATTAACACCAAGTGAAATAAATAAACTATTTTATAGTTTAATTTATATTAAAATATAATAAACATTTTTTTTTTAACATTTCATTTATTTTTCTAAAATTATATTTCAGTCAAACTAGATGCCTGGGAGATAGCTTTGGATAAATTTTCAGGATCATTACGCTACATACCTGAGGTAAAATTTTACAATGTTAGTGGTATTTAGTTTTGATCTTTGAATCTTTTTAGTTTAACTTTTTTTAGGTTTTATAGTTGTGTGTGGTGTCTGTGTTATTTTGATAACTTATGTTGTTTTATGATGTGATGCAGAGTTGTTAGTCGTTGGCCTTGGCCTTGCCTAAAATTGGTCCTTGACAAAAATTGCCAAAAATTGGTCCTTGCCAAAAATTAGGTCCTTGACCTTGGCCTTGTCCTTGCAACTCTTGGCCTTGGCCTCCGTCTTGGCCTTGGCCTTAAATTTTTTTTCCTAACTTTCTGTTTATTTTAGCAAGTTCATTTTTTGAATTTAGAACAGAATTGTTTAAAAGTAATTACATGCTGTAATTCATTAACGTTTAACGTTATATAATATTATTTGGTTACTTACTGTTAATTTTGATCTTTATAGTTGTGGTATCTAGTATTTACTTAAAATAGTGTAATGATTTTAATAATTCTTCTTCTGTGTGTTATGCATAACCTTGATTTAATTTTGAAACATGCGGATTTGTTTTTTTATGTCTTACCCCGTGAAATACTTGGATGTGTCCTTTACCTTGTCCTTAGCTTGTCCTTGGCCTTGGAACTTGTGGCCTTAGCCTTGGATCATGTGGCCTTGTCCTTGGAACATGTGGCCTTGGAACATTTGGCCTTGACCTTGGCCTTGGCCTTGGAAATTGTGGCCTTGGATTTGGTCTTGGAGCATGTGGCCTTGGCCTTGTTATATTTGGCCTTGTTAACAACTCTGATGTGATGTACACATATTATACCAAAATTATTTTTGTTTGTAATGTTTTTGTTTTACTTCTTAAGTTTCTTTTTATTTATTTTTAAGGTTCTATAACACTAATCGAATCATCCAAAAATGGGTAGCAGTGGGGAAGCGGGGGGGGGTCAGTAAATACATACACTGGCCATATAAAGAATAATTTTTTTTCTCTGCAACAATGGCTGTTTTTGTTTGAGAATGGCTCAGAACAACATCAAAAAATATGAGTTTGATTTTCATGAATATCTAAGAAATTTAATCTAAGAAATTTGTCTTCATGTTCATCTTTAGGTTTATCTTCATAAATCTGTAGATCTTCATAAGTTAGAATGGTTTCTAATCTTTGTAGATAAGATAATATTTGTTTTTATTTGAGTCAGCAAAAATTAATTTGATAGTTTTGTTTATAAAGTTAAATTTAAAATAGTTTTTCAAAAAAAAAAATCTATCTAAGACATCAATCTAACATTAAATCATAATTTAAAGATTGTTCACAAGAAAATAACTGAAATCTTGTTAAAACAAAAAAAAATAACTGAAATTTTGTTAAAACAAAAGAAAATAACTGAAATCTTGTTAAAACAAAAGAAAATAACTGAAATCTTGTTAAAACAAAAGAAAATAACTGAAATCTTATTAAAACAACAGAAAATAACTGAAATCGATATTTTTAAAACAAAAGGCAGTAAAATGCAAACAATCTAGTAAACAATGATTTTATTGGTAATTGATAATTTAATAATTTACTATTTTTAAGATAAAAATTACAACCCCAGCCTGAAGATGTTGTTGTTTGATATTGAGCTGCTAGATGTATATAAGGTTCAGTTTTGTCTGTTCCTATTGTCAGTCTACATATTCACACTAATACTTTATTATTATCTATGTATTTAAATTTTATTATTATTATACTTATTGTTATTATTATTATTTTTATTATTAATGTCTATACAAATTAAATTATTAATTTAATTAATAATTATATTGCAAATTAAAATATTAATTTAATTTGCAATATAATTAAATTAAAATTTTATAATTTGCAAAAAAAGGTTAAACAATTTGTATTACCAATAAATGTATCTAAGTTTAAATTAAAGTATTTTAAATATAATAATGTCATAATGTCGGAGAGCTTCATATAGCCATAGCCGTAAATTAAACTGTTAAACTGGGGAATAAAATATTTATGTCATAAAAGCTTAAAAAATAGTATAGTAAAGATAAAACGGCTTCATTTTAAAATATTTTTTTGCAAAAACAAAATGAATAAGTTTCTAATTTTAAAATTATTTACATATAGACTTTTGAGAATAGCAGAGATTATTGTGAACTTGTGGAAAAAATCAGTTTATTAGGTGAATATTTAAAAAAATGGAGCTGTTTCATGTGCCTTGAATTTCATTCAAGTTGCACTTCTCTAAAATCAGGCAAGTTTTCATTTAGAGTAATAAAATACTCAAAGAGATCAATAGAGTGGCTGACTAAATTTCTCTCTCCAGGTAATCGCGGTTTTTGACCTACAACTTTTTTGATTCCGCAATTTTTGAAATAAAACTTTATTTTATAAGTTTTTATATTATAAACTTTATTTCATAAGAGTTTATATGTCTTATTACATAAGAATAATTTGTCATAAAGTAACATATTGTTTAAAAACAATAGTTTAAAATCAGATGTAAAATACAAAGAAAATAATTCCAATTGAAAATAACCAATTTTTTTTTTTTATGACAGATTTTTTTTAAAATCAGAAATACAATAAAAATAAAATTAATAGATTTGATTTTATCTTGTCAAAAATAAATGTAATAAGTATTTAGCAATGTAATTTTAAACTAGGGCCCTGCAAATCACTTATTTTGGTATCAAATCGAATCATGAATTGAAGCAGACATTAATTCGCAAATCGAATCTTGAATCAGATCAGCATTTTGAAGATATCAATGTTTTAGTTAAACTTGGATTTTCTCAAAATGCTGATTGGACTCGTGTTTCAATTCGATTTGTTAATCAAGGCCTGCTTCCAATTGTGATTTGATTTGAAACTAAAAAAGGTGATTAAAACCATGGTAAAACCATAGAGGTGTTTGGTGCTGGCGTTAGCATCTTTTGACCAAGATCACAATATAAAAATGGTAAAAGGTTCTGTATTCGAAAACAAAGGGAGGTCCGAAAAGATGTAAAAACAGATAGAAAAGATCAAAACTGAAATCTTTTTGAAAGCAGTTTTTGTTGATAAAGACCAGCCACTAGGTCTTGAGTTATAGTTTGAAAAATGCCTACGAATGAGACTTCCTCAGACTTTTTGGGTACAATGAATTCCAAAACTTTAAAAATCTTTCAAAGTTGCTAACAACATATTATTCACAGCAAAATTGTAACAACTCACAGCAAAATTGTATCAACTCACAGCAAAATTGTAAATCTACTAATTAAATCTATTAAGTTTAAGTAGGATATTTATTTCTTAAAATAAGAAACGTATTTAATGTTTTAAGAAAAATATTTTGTAATAAAAAATTCAATTTTGCTGTGCTTACAGTAAAATTTATTCAAGATAATGTAGACAGGGTGATGAGCTTGGAAAAACTTCAGAAGCTGCTTAAAATAGTTCTTGTAAAAAAAAAAACATTAAAAAAAGAAGGATTTAAGGAGCTAGCTACAGCGACTGCTTCCTCGCTTTCTAGTTTTTGAATGGTTCTGATAAATTGAATTTTGATCCAATATCTAATTGTAAACTCTTAATGTTAAAAGTACATTAAAATTTTTTTTTTTGTTTTACTTATTTTCTTGAGATATTTGTCTAAAGATAAAAATTTATATGTATATGAATATTTATTGCACATTTGCAGCGTTTAAACGCTGAATTCTTAAGATAACTTGCTTCATTGATCTATGGCAGTGACGGATTTAGCTTTTTTTGGTGTTTGAGATATTACTTGAAATATTTGTATGTTTATACTTATGTCAAATAATGGTGCTTTTTAAAAAGTTGCAATAATTAGAGGCTAGAAACAAAAAAAGTCCCAAAATATAATCCCCTTGCCCCAAACGTGAAAGTAACAAGTTGATGAAATAATTTTTTTTGCTATTCTTAACTAAATTTATATTCATCGATAAGTTTTAAGTATCTCTAAGCGTTCAAAAAATTTTAGGGTTTTTTTAGTTTCCAGCCTCCAATCATTGCAATATTTTGCAAATCATCATTATTTGATATAAGTATAAAATTATAAATGTTTCCAGTTTGCGCCATTTCAAACACCAAAAAATACTGGATCCTTCACTGATATGTGGTTTGATGCCTACTCTAGGTATTTTTTTGACATGAAGGAAGCATTAACTTCCAAGTTAAATGTTACTCTGCGGTGCTCTGTGATGTGACAATTAGGTCTTCTTTGAGCTCATAAAATAACCACAGAAAAAATTTGTATATATATTTTTGAATGACATTGATACGTTTTGATCTAGTTTAGTTTACAACAAAAGATCGAAAATCCTTTACCCAATCTTTTAAGGAAACCATTTTTAATTTGGATTTGTTTGATCCAAGGCTCCAGTAACAAACATTTGTATGTATTTAGATTTAAAAAAAAAACATTATTCGATAAGAAAAAAAAACATCATTTGATAAGAAAAAAAAAACATCATTTGATAAGAAAAAAACATCATTTGATAAGAAAAAAAAAACATCATTTGATAAGAAAAAAAAACGTCATTTGATAAGAAAAAAACACATCATATGATAAGAAAAAAAAAACATCATTTGATAAGAAAAAAAAAACATCATTTGATAAGAAATGACTGAAAAAAAGATCAACAAAAAATCACTTTACAGTATCCAAAGTGTTAATTTATCTACCGTAATTAGTAATATAGGCACAAAATATTTCTTAAATTAATAAGCACAGTGTTTTTTTTGGTACTGCAACACATAGAGAAAACATTATTGAACAAATTAAGTGGATTTGATATCAAAATCTTTTGGTGCCAATGCTTGGAAATTGCCCTAAATTTAGTAAAAAATCACAAAAAGTGAAACTTCGAACAATTGGCGCAAATACTTCTATCAAGAAAAAATAAAAAATATAAATTTTTTTATATAAATATGACCTCTACTCCACTCATTAGCCACTCCGCATAAAAATTGGTTGCCAAAAAAAAATTATAGGATGGGCTAATATATATATATATATATATATATATATATATATATATATATATATATATATATATATATATATATATTATATATATATATATATATATATATATATATATATATAAAAATGATGTGATTAATATTTTCTCTTAGGATATTGATAATATTATTATAAAAAAAAATATGATATATATTAAAAAAGATCACAAATAATAAAATTTAAAAAAATTAGATATTATGATCAAAATTGATGTATATTATATTTTATTATTATTATTTTTTGTTTGATATTATTTGTTATTATTTAATTGAATAAAATAAAAATATTAATGTTCAAATTTTCATCTTTAGCAATTGAAAAACAATAAAAAGATAGATATTTCTCGTGATGAAATAATGAAAAAAATTGGAGAACTTTTGTCATTAAGGTTTTTTTTTGTACTTATTAGTTTCTTTATTTTTGTAATTTTGTTCTAAATGTTTATATTTGTATACATACAAACATACATACATACATACATACATACATACACACACACATACATACATACATACATACATACATACATACATACATACATACATACATACATACATACATACATACATACATACATACATACAAACATTCATGTCTTAATACATTTAGCACGCATAAAGAAGAAAATAAGAGTAATTAAAAAAAGTAGTCATAGTAACAGTTCTTTAATATTTAGATTTTCAGATTGTAAATTTGAATTGTTTTCAATTTATAATGGTCTACTTATGGTCTCTATTATGTTCAACTTCAGTTGTTGCTTTTAAGAAACTTTATAATCAAAATAAATCTGTTTCTATACATTTCATCTTCATTAAAGTTATTGCTTCTTTTTTCATAGAATCCCAGAGACTTTCAATTAAAAAGCTCATTATGCTTTATACTTCAATTCAATTTAAGATTGCCCAGTGGTTAAAGTTCTGGCTAAGAATCAAAGTGCAATGTTTAGAATTGTGGTTAGAGTTCTGCCTTAAGAACCAAGAGTTCCGAGGTTCGAGGCTCCAGGAAAATTGGTTAACTTCCTAGTTAAATGTTTTTGCTAACTGCAACGACTTTGTGGAACTGCAACAACTTCTGTGGAACTGCAACGACTTCTGTGGAACTGCAAGGACTTCTGTGGAACTGCAAGGACTTCTGTGAAACTGCAACGACTTCTGTGAGCATCTTAACTTCCACAACAACAACAAAAAATTTCTAAAAGTTACTGAGAATCCATACTTAATATATCTATGACTTTTTTGCAATCTGTTTAATTACCTGATTACTTTTCTGCAATCTGTGTAACTACCTGATAACTTTTTTTAAGGAAATAGCAAAGCAGTGTTTGTTTGAAAAAGAAATGAACAAAAAAAAAAAGTGCAAAATTAAAACAGGGCTGAAAATAAGATAATTGTCTAACTGAACTTAGTAATCTAGTTCTAGTCAATTAGTTAAATAGAAGTAAATAATATTTATAATATAAAATAAGTAATATACAATACATGTAAATCATAAAAAGTTTATAAATGTATGACAAAAAAATTTATCTAAAATGTGTTTTAAGATTTAAGTTTCAACAAGTTCAACTTTTTTAGAATATTTTTATAAACTCCTTTAAAATCATTTAGACATCAAATAAATCTTTACTCTGATACTCTTGCAACACCAGACTTTTATTGGAATCATGAGGAGTTAGAAAGATTATATTCAAAGACATGTGCATATCTGGAAATATCAAAACGAACCAAGGTTTAGCTTTTAAAATAAAAGGAAATTGTAAATAGTTTTTTTTATATATAAACTTTTTACTAATTTTTTTCATAAAAAATGCTGTTTCCAATTTTTTCTTTTTTTATAAAAAAATTTTTTTTTTTATAAACAAATGTTGTTTTTATAAAAAATTGTTGTTTTTTATAAACAAATGTTATAAAAAATAACGACGATTATAAAGAAAGGTTATAAAAAAAAACGATGATTACAAAGAAAGGTTATAAAAAATAACAATGATTATAAAAAAAGGTTATAAAAAATATCAATGATTATAAAGAAAGGTTATAAAAAGTAACAATGGTTATAAAGAAATGTTATAAAAAATAATGACGATTATAAAGAAAGGTTATAAAAAATAACGATGGTTACAAAGAAAGGTTATAAAAAATAACAATGATTATAAAGAAAAAATTTTATATATACTTTTTTTTTTCATCTGGTGTTTATTATTATTTTATTATATAGAGCACATATAAATGGGAGGGGGATACTAGATGTTTTCTGATAATGTTTTAAGTGCCAATAATTTTATAAAATTTATTTATTCTGTGCTCTATTTCAAATGCTCGATAAAATATTTGTATTTTATATATGGTGCAGTCAAATAAAAGAATATTTTAAATCTAAAAATTCATACACTCTAAATGTGCTCTTTGTAATAAAATAACACTGAACATTGAATTTTTTCAAATAAAAATTCATTTTAGCGATCACGTTCTCTAACATTTCAGAGTTCCATTTCATTTAATATATATAAGATAATGAAGTAAATTTATGTAAGATTTCCAAATATAATAATCAAAATTGCCAAAAAAAAATTATTTTGTTTTTGATTAAAATTTAGTATTTTTTATAGTTTTTATGAAATAAATAAAACGATAAAAAAGTCTAAAATAATTTGTGTAAAATGATTATTAACTTTATTATAATAATAGTAGAAGCTTGCTAAATGTTAATTATACCTTATCCCTATAAACTCACTATATGTCCAATGATCTAAAGCAACCCCTGAAAAAAATTTGATTCAGAATTTTTTTCAATCTAGTGTTAATTTATTATACAGAACACATTTAGAGGGTGTAGTTTTTTTGATTTGAAAATTTTCTTTTTTTAACTCCCCCTAAAGTAATTCTGTAAATAATGTATTCATATTAAATTTTTTTTGAAATGTGCATAGATAAATATACTAATTTAATATTTGCTAAATATAAATATATAAAAAATTATATCAAGGTTTTTGATGATTCATTTGGACTTTTTTTTTTTTATGTGATTCTTTTGTGTGTCTTTGATTAGACACACAAAAGTGTGTTGATTGTTTTTTATTCAACTAAAGTGATATTTAAATTGTAATTTTTATTTATTTATTTTTAATTATAGTTTATTTTTTAAGTTTTATTTTCAGTTTCTAAATAATAATCAATTTTTTTTAAACTTTAATTAAATTAAATTTCAATGGTTTTTAACCTCTTAAAGTCTACTTTAATTATTTGTTGAATTTATTCATTTTTGAATTTTAGTCACTTATGGGGTCGTCCATAAATTACATCACACAGTTTTTGACATTTTTTGAACCCCTACGTGTCAAACATCACTATCCTAAACATGATATCGATTTTAAAAATCTATTCTTCCGATATATTATACATGCAAAACTTTCTGATTAAGCGTAATCTTGCTCAAATCAACAAAAAGCATGTTTAAATTTTTTTTGATTTTTTAACCATATATGCACAATGCTTTAAAGCAACAAAAATTAAAAATTTAAAAACTTATTTGATCCAAAAGTAATATTTAAAAAAAAAATCATATTATGTTATAAAATAATTTTTAGTCATTTTTTTAGCTGAAAAAAGTAAAAATAATTCTTTAAAATAAAGATTTGAAGTGGAACTTATTTACAAACACGCATTACCTTTTATTTACAAACATGTATCACCCTTCAATTTTTTATACACTTCTATACTTTCAATTTACTACTTTTTATATATATTTTAAAGAAAAATGAAAAAAAATTACTGTACTAAATTAAAATTTAAGTGCTGAGTTAAAATTTAAGGAACAAAAATAATTCAATACCAGATAATCTGTATAATAGAGTATATATATAAATGTTGTTTTTTAAACTATTTTTTCTCCTTACAGTAAATTAAAATTTTATTTTTAGGTAATGAACTCTAAAATGGATTTATGCTCTGAACTTGTTCAAATGTTAAGATGTCATCTAAACGATGAACATTCACATAGACTAGAATGGATGATTATTATTCTTATCGTTTTTGAGGTTTATACATGATGTTTTGCAATTTATGTTTTATAATTTGAATTATTTAGATATATAATTTTATAAGCATATATATATATATATATATATATATATATATATATATATATATATATATATATATATATATATATATATATATATATATATATATATATATAGAGAGAGAGAGAGAGAGAGAGAGAGAGAGATTTTATAATCTTTTAAGTTTGATTTTTTAACTTTGAAGCTATTATTATTGTTTAGGTTATATTTGAGATACTGCATCTTGTTACACGATGGAGCGAGAAGTGATTTTATAGAAGCAATTCTTTATGCATCATTTTTTACTGTTTTTCTATGTGATGTTATTTTTTTTAATAAATTTTTGAAAAAATTTTTCTTGTAAACTTTTCTTTTTTGTAAAAATTTATCAAGCTTTATTGACTTAAGATATATTTCATGTCAGTTTTTATAGAGTAAAAGTAAATAATATAGCTTCTTTGTTGATGAAGTAAATAAGTAAGATTGTTGTTGTTTAAAATAAGTTATTATAACTTATTATTATTAACATGCGTTTTAAATTTTTGAGAGTTTTGCTTGTATTACTGTTAATGTGACTTAATGAGAGTTTTTATAGTTAACGTGATTTTTTTTTAAAGAATTTTAAAAGTGTTTAGCTATGGTTTTAGGGCGTTAAAATGGTTGCTTGGTGATGTAATATTGTAAGATTTATTATTATTATTGTTTATTTTTCTTTTTTAGATTTTGAAATCATGCAAAATTTATTTTCAGTAGAAGATGAAATTGACTTCTCAGATGATGAAAATTTTTTAAATTTACAAGAGAAAGTCATTAGTTGTCATCCTATAAAAAATTTATTTAACAATCAAAATGTTTCTCAGATAAAACTTTTAAATCAAACCCACCCTATTGTACAAACCCACCATCCTTCCCAAACTAAAGTTGGAAACAGTACCTTCCATTCTAACCAAACTAAATTTGGAAACAATGTTACTATTTTTATTGATAAAGGAGTTTCTAATGATAATAACATTTTGTACAAAACACCAATTAACGAAAAAGTCAGTAAGAAAACAGACTCTATTGAAAAATTAGGATCTTGTGAAAAAATTTCTAGACTAATAAATTCTGATTCTTCTAATCTTGATAAAGAAAACAAACATTCTCAGTTGAAAGAAAGCATGGATAAAGTTGGCAGTTCTAGAGTTTTTTTTAATAAAAGGTTATTTTCATCACCTGTTACTGTTTCAACATTTGAAAACACTAAAAATACAAAAAGACTGTCCAATGAATCAGATTTGTTAAAAGAGCCATCTATGAAAAAAGTTTGTAGTCGAAAGTCAATTGATTGCATCAAAAAAACAACAATAAAAACTGCAAAGTTTCCGGGCCCTGCAGGTAGGTTGCCTAAATTAAACAGTATTTCAGATTTAGATGCTTTAACATCTCCTAATTCAATCAAAGTCAACAGTAAAACAGAAAAAATTTCTCATGACTTATTAAATAGATGTGAAGATTTTTCACAAACAATGTGGGAAGAATGTCAATCAGAATTTAAGATGTTGTTTCCTAATTACTCTTGTTCAACTATTTCATCCATTCTCCTTGATGCAGCAAATAATAAATTGGAAAATGGTAAAGTGAAATATGTTTGCGCGCTAGTTACATTTTTTATGCAAATTGGTTCTAGTGGAAAACTAGTTCTCAAAGATCCAACTGGTGAAATTAATGCTACTGTGCATAAGTTAGTATTAGACGAATATGAAGCAGAATTAAAACCTGGTACAGGTTTATTATTAAAAGATGTGTCAGTGTTTAGTCCAACTCCAAAGAAACACTATGTCAATATCACGCCAACTAATGTTATTAATGTGTTTCCTTGTGTCTTTAAGTCCACACAGGTTCAGCTTACTCAGATTTCAGAGAAAATAAATTTATTACCAAACCAAAGTGCACAAGCCGTGGAGGAAAGGTATTTATTACCAAACCAAAGTGCACAAGCTGTGGAGGAAAAGTATTTTTTACATCAAAATATATCCCCACAAAATCAAAAGAACATTTTTGTTGCTGATACATCAATTAAGAATTTAAATAATAGCATTGTTGACTCTCAGTACATTGACTTAAATATTGAAACACGTACACCGAAAAGTAGCAACAACATTAAAAAGTATCATTTTCGTAATTTAAATAGCGATACATCAAGTATTAAAACTCATATATTCAATAACTCCTCAGATGACACTCGTAATATAATCAATAGGACCTCGGAAAACACTCATAATATACTTAATAAGAACTCAAATAACACTCATAATATATTTGATAAAACTTCAAATGACGCTCGTAATATACTTGATCGGACCTCAGATAACACTCGTAATGTACTTAATAAGACCTTCAATAACACTCATAATATGCTCAATAAGATCTCGGATGACACTCGATGCAGTAATCTAAACAATGACACTCAATGTAACAACCTAAACAATGAGGATTTTTCTGATTTTTTTTCTGATGACTTTTCTTTTGATTAAATTTTAATCAAAAATCATTTTGTTTGAAATTTTTGTTTCAGTTCAGTGTTGTAAATCAGATATTTTAAGAAAGATATAAAAAAGGATTTATTTTTTTACAAAAACTTAAATTTGTGCATATCTAATAACTATATCTTAATTTTATATATTATTTGAAATTTGTTGAAATTTTGTGGCATTTATGGTAATAAACTTACAATTTTTTTTTTTTAATTCTTTTAAAATATTTAATTTTTTTTATTTTTATTTTTAAATACCTATTAGGATTTTCAGTTAATAGCTTAACAAATGGATGTTTTGGGAAGATGTTTAGTCACAGTTGGTATTATTTCTTTAATACATTGTGGTTACTCAGCAATTCAATATCGAACATATTTGAAATTGATTGAAGAAGAGTTTACATCTGTTCCAATTGATGTATGAAAGTTTTTTTAACTTTTTTTTTAAATAAATTCAATTCAAATCTTTACTCTATATTTATATTGTTAGCTAATATATGTATATGCATTCAGGGTAAGGCAAGGATTTAGGCCATCCTTCAGTTTGAATGCCCACCCCCCTTACTCAAAAAAAAAAAAGACCTGCCCAAATTTTTTGATTATATTACTGGTATATAGTATATAAGTATAATTAAACCAGCTTTTGTATATATATATATATATATATATATATATATATATATATATATATATATATATATATATATACATATATATATATATATATGTATGTATATATATATATACAAATATATACATATATATACATATATATTTATACATATATATGCATATATATATATATATATATATTTATATATATATATATATATATGTGTATATATATATATATATATATATATATATATATATATATATATATATATATATATATATATATATATATATATATATATGTATATGTGTATATATATATATATATATATATATATATATATATGTGTGTGTTTATATATATATATATAATTAATCATAAACTAATTAAATTTATATTAGTTAAGTTAAATGTAATATAATAATTAGATAAAATAAAATAAAAAAATTAAATTTGTTAAAGAAATTATTATTAAAAATTAAATCATACAATCAAGCAAATTGCCTGTAAAAATAACTAATCCAAATACGCCCAGTAGCAGCCAAACCCTTGCCCGCAGGTAAAATAATGTCTGCAGAGACTTAAAATGCTTGTTAAACAATTTGGATATTTAGGAGAATGACGGTTAAAATTTAAATTCCACTGGTTGAACATTAGATAATGATATTTGCAATTATACCCTAAAATTGCATTTGGAAATCTTAGACATTCAAAATCACATAGGGTTAAAAAGCAAACTTCAAGAACTGTGTTTATCGCCAATTGCTCCAGATCTGAATTATTCTGGAAATTTGTTCTCAAAAATGACTTTCCTAAACTCAATGATATGGCACTCAGATTTGTCTTTAAGTTTCGCTCAACCTACGATGAACTACAAAAAAGGAAAATATAGGATAATAAATAACTGTCTGACAACCATCTTGATAATCTGATACTTCTATCTACCTCAAAAATCAATCCGGACATTGAAAAACTAGTTTCAGACGATCAAGTTTACCACTTCTAATAATTATATTGCTTTGATACAAATGATTATATTAGTTAATAGTCACCTATATTTTGGCAGAAATAAATATTTTTTGCCCGCAAAGTTGCCTTTTCCTTTTTTTTTCCTGTGCCCTTAAAAGTCTGGCCACCTTGAAATATGCCATTTTTAAAATAAGATTTGATCACGTTTTCTGCAAAATTCAAGATAAGCATATATATAAAATTTAAACAAAAGGTTTCATTAAACTTAATGAGCTATTTTGATTTTTTATTTAACTTAAAACTTTTGATGGGGGAAAAAAAGAAGGAAAAAAACAACCTGGATGTTATTGCTGCTGTTGGGGGCCCCTATAGAATCTGGGGTCCCCAGCAATTTGCTTGGGTGACTCACCCTCTGCACAGCTCTGTATATGTGTATATGCATTTAGGTGCACATTCTTATTTTTGACATATGTGTATATATAAAAAAAATATTAAAATTACATTTTTAAATTTAAAAACTCAAAATTACTGTTGATAAAAATTACAACTAGAAGAAATGTGAGTAGTTCCTAATTTACTAATAATTAATCTAATGAAGTTTGATGTAATGTGTTTACTATCTAATGATCTTATGACGTTTGATGTAATGTGTTTACCTTCTAATGATTTGATGTAATGTGTTTACATCTAATGATCTAATTAAAGTTGTTTGATGTAATGTGCTTACCTTCAGAATGTGTTTACTAATTTACATGTAAAATTAAAAGATTCGTTTTTAAACTTAAATATTAAATGATATTTTTAATAAGAATGTAAAATAAAGCATAGTTGAAGTTTAATTTTGCAATTTTCAACAATAAAATCTAAAAATAATAATTTTTTATTATTACTTTTATTGTTTAGTGTTTTTTATTTTTATAAAATTATTTATTATGATCAAACTCTAAAAAATTTTAGTTTCACTATTGCATATTTTGAATTTTGACATCAAAGAATTTTTTTTTTTCATTTTTTTTAACCTGAAATCTGATTTTTTGTTTGTTTGTGAAAAATTAAACTGTTTTTAAAAGCTAAGAGCAAGTCCAACATACTGACCACAGACATCATTGTTCTTAACAGGGTATGAGTTTTCTAATAAATCTTCTCTAGAGAATCTGTAACATAGGCTAAAAATAGGCAATTTGAGGTACCAAAAAAATAAAAAGGAAATAAAAAGAGTCATAAAAAGAAAAGATCCACGTTCATTATCAAGATTTGAACTAAATAAGTAAATAATAAAATAAATTAAAATAATAAAATGTTAGTGTAAATTGATAAAAATTAGTATTTAAAACCATTTAACTGGTTTTAAAATTTTAAAAAATGAAAACCAGTTTTTTGAAATATTTTAATTTTATTCAAGGCCCATTCAATAGTCAAAATTTTGACATCCTTTAACACATTTTTTAAATGTCAATTTTCGATTTTTGAAAATTTCAAATTCAATATCAATGTTAAATATTTCTAAGTTAATGTTTCAACTTTTCTGCTCATAGGCTTGTAAACAAAAAGTAATATACAATAAATTAGTCTTACATGTTTTTCTTTAATTTAACATCATTAGTAGTATCTTAAAAAAATGGCAAAAAAAAAAAAAAGTGTCAAACTCATGCATTTAATCATTTCAAGAAGTCTAATATTAACTGTACTGAAAAATAAAGTTTAACATCTACAACCATCTGTGTTAATTTCTTAACACCAGTGAACAAATATCCGCAAACATCTGCGTTAATTGTTTAACACCAGTCAACAAATATCTGCAACCATGTATGTTAATTGTTTAACACTAGTAAACAAATATCCACTTCCATCTGTGTTAATTGCTTAATACCAGTAGGCAATATTGAAACTAAAAAGTTTTGAGTTTATTCCGTTTCAAATTATTTTTTACTGAAATATATAATCTATTTAAATATTAGATCTAATAATAGACTCTTGGTCCTAATAATAGATAGAAAAAATATCAATTTCTATTGATGTGCACCTATAAGATTTCTTATTCAATTTCCTAAAATCAATTTACTCGAACTTAACACCTTTTGAAAACTCACTCAAATGCTAACTATAATAAATGCAAAGTAGAAAGATTTAAAAAAAAAAATTGATAATAAATAATTTAAAAAGAATAAAAAACAACAAACAATTTTTTTACAAGAAATGATTACCTGTTGATAGCAAAAAAGCTTACAAAAAAAAAACAATCAAGAAGAAATGGAAATTACATTGAAAAACCAAATCAGAATACATATAACCTTGATGAAAATAGAGTTTGATAACAGCAATACTGATACTTTTGATATGCAAGATTCATAAATGCGTATCAATATGGAAAGCAATTGGGATTGCAATAGTTATTAAATAAACTAGAGTAAAAAAAAGTCTCCCTAACTCCCTTATTAATTGATTTAAATATAAATTCAAAATATGTTAAATGTATACTGTTTATTAAATGAGGAGCCCATTTGCAAAATGGGAAAAAATCCAAATAAATTGAACCACGAAAAACGGAATAATTGTGCATCAACAGAAGTTAGTATTTTCTTTGTAAACATTAATCGCAGTTGAACAGAAAATGAAGGGAAGATACATCTTGTTTTGGATTTAAACACTAGTTGTATCAGTATGTTAATTCACATAGTGCCTCAAGTGATGCATGTAATAAAACAGTGAGAAGATGGAGAGCTGTTCGTAACAAATTTTCAATGCTTAATTTCAGATGTGCCGATATGTAAATAAGCACTGATTTCACTTTGTAGAAGAATTAGAGGGTAGTCTACAAAGAAATAAAATTTTACATGTCTTGAATTAAATTCTGCCCTAAAATTTATGTCTTCAATCTTAGGCAGAGTGTTAAATCTTGATGCAGACGTTAGTGAAGCAACTGACCTCTACTTCAACAACATTGTTAATTTAAAAAGATATCAGTTGAAAATGTTGTAAATCATTTGGCACGTTATGGATTGGTAACCAAAGAGCCAGAGCAATGTGAAGTTGCACGAGTATTGGTTTTGCAACTATTTAGAAATTAAAAAAAAGAGCTTTGTTGGAAAAAAAAGAGCTTTGTTTCAATATGTTGACACTATGGATCATCCATAAAGTACTTACGCTGGAATGGGGGAGAGAGGGTCTGCAAATGGCATATATAAGATGGGGGGCAGGTGGTCAGTTATAAAAGTAAGGAAGGTCTAAATTTAAAAAAATATCATTTTAAGGAAGGTTGAGGGTAGTTAAGAGCTTGTACCAAAATTCAGGGGGGGAGGGTCAAATTAAAAGCAAACTTACTTTATGGGCGACCCCTTATTAGGGCACTATTCTGTTGGAAATTGGCGCAGAATTCCCTACAGTCTTATAAAATGTTATAGCCGAGGAGATGCTAGAGATAATCTGATTGGAGTTCAAGTTCAGTCATCATTGGTCAAAATATTGCTTCAATTGGCTAGTTGATATATATATATATATATATATATATATATATATATATATATATATATTATTATTATTATTATTATTATTATTATTATTATTATTATTATTATTATTATTATTATTATTATTTTTATTATTATTATAGTGTAGGGGAGGTCAGGGGAATGGTGGCCCCTTATAGTTTTTTGCCATTTTTAGGGTTGTATTATAATGGTTCGAGCTATAACTATGGTAGAATAATTATGACAATGTATATTATAAAGTACTTAATTGGCAAATAAGTACAAAAAATAATTAATGTGTTATTACAAGAAAAAAATTAAACAAAATGGTCAGTATTACCCCATAACTTTGGGACAATTGTGACATCCTGGTCAGCATTACCCCAATTCTTTTGTTGAACACAAATAATGAAAACAAGAATAATAATTATTAAAAATAAGTTTTAAAAAAGTTTGAGTGAATAAGTTTATGAGTTTAAGAATTAATAAAAATAAGTAGTACAATTTTACTATTAAATACAATAGTCACAAATATAAATATCGTTTTAAAATGATATTTATATATCATAGATATCATAACCCCAAAATAAATCAATTTTTATTAACAAACATAAAAACATATTTGCAAATAAGAACATATTTGCATTACATATATTTAAAATCTTATTAATGGTGCTATTTATTCAACGTCTTTAACATTTATATACTTAATAGCACAATAATTCTTTTTCTTTCTAATACGTAAATGACAGTTAACAACATTAGACAACTAGCGCCACTTATGTAAGAACTAGGATCAATTATTAGTTCTTCTAGTAGAACATAGGTACCAGTACAGATAAAAAATGTCACAATTACACAAATATAGAAATAACATATGTCCATAATTACCTCAGAGGCTATCAATCCTCTGACCTCCCTTTTTTCCCAAATAATATCTTCTTTACAAAAAGGTTTTATAAAATGCTAATGCAGGTTGATAAGGTTTTTTTATTATCAATGCTCCTCTGATGCATGCGCGTGTTTACCTGTATTTTTGTTTCACCTACGTAATCTTTGGAACAAGTGCATCTGATAATTTTAGGCTGGCTGTTACTAGGTAGTTTTGATTAGTTTTTTGATGTTAATAAAGATTTTATATTTGAGTTTGATTTAAGTACTGTTTTTTATCCTGGGTTTTTGGAATATTTTTAGATTTGGCAAAAGGCCTGGTACCCATCCCAAAGACACTACAGGGAAATTACCACGCAATTAAAATTCCACCACGCCCAAAATTTTCTGTTTAAAAAAATTAAGTTTTTCAATTACTAAGAATATTTCTTATTTAATTTTAATAATAATCTTACCTTTCATAAATGTCAATAAAGTCCAATAAATAAAAAGCTAATATTTTCTGTTTAAATAAAATAACGTTTTATTTTATACAAAAATATTTCTTTGACTTAATTATAATCGTATTCTTACCTTAAATATCAATAAAGTCTAATAAATAAAAAACTAATATGAATAAAATAACAGCAAAAAACAGATACAGTATCAGACAAAACAAGTGCAACTAAATAATGCTAATTTAGTTTCTTTATATAAAAGTGCTGCATTTTTTTCAATTTAGAGAAATAACTATGTAACTGTTTAGAGACAACGTTCTTCAAGTTTTATTCATCACAAAGTTCATTATTTGTACACGAAAATTAAAAAATTAATCAAAAGTATTAAAAAAAGTTGATTTCCTTCTGGACAAAACAAGTGCACCTTCACAAAATGTTGACCAAGCTGTATTCCTCTATCAATATTTCATGGCGAATCCTTTGTTGTCGATCACAGTCTTGCATCTTCGAGGCATAGATTTGATCAGGTGATCAATAAAACTTGGAATCATTGTCCAGGCCTTTTGGATTTGTTCAAACTGTTGATCCTTATTACGAACACCTTCACGATGACGATCTCCCACAGGTTCTCGCTAGGGTTGAGATTTGGAGGTTGAGGCGGCCAATCCATCACCGATAGGTGGTTGTCTTGAAACCACTGCTTGACTACTTTTGCAGTGTGTTTCGGATCGTTGTCTTGCTGAAAAACCCATTTTATTGGCATTTTCCATTCAGCATGAGGTAGCATAACATCTTTCAGGATATTTTTATACATTAAACGGTTCATTATTCCATCGATTCGATGTATTGGACCTAGACCAATAACAGAAAAACACCCCCAGACCATTACATTGCCTCTACGATGCTTCACAGTCTTATGGCAGCAAAGTAAATTGAGGTGTTTTCCGGCCGGTCAACATACACGGCAAATGCCATAGCTCCCAATGATGTTGAACTTCGATTGATCACTGAACAGGGCAGTTCGCCATTTCTGCACATTCCAGTCAATATGAGATGTAGCAAACAGGAGTCTTTTCTTCTGGTTCTTTAGTGAAATCACCTTTTTTTTTTTTAGTGAAATCACCTTTTTTTTTTCTTTGCAGAGCGTCGAGAAAACAATCCGCCTTCAACAGCACGTCGTCTGATTGTTCAGTCCGATACAGGCAGCTCTAATTGCTTTTGTCTCGACTGATGATATCCAGGGATCCTTCTTGACGGATCTGACGATCATAGAATCCTCTCTATAAGTGGTGGAACGCGGTCTTCCGCCTTTGTTATCTGTTGCTAACTTCCCCGTAGAACGATATTTGGAACATAGTCTTGATACGGTCCATTTTTTCACGCGATATTTATCACAAATACTTTTTTGTGACATTCCACTTACGTAATCGCCAATAATTTTCTTTCTTAGTTCCAATCCAAGACTGTCAGGAGCAATTTTTGCACTAGCAGTCATAAAAATAATAAAATATAAATAATCACGCTTTATAAGGCTTACCGTGTTACATTTACCTTGTGATGATACAATAATGCTCTGTAGAAAACAACGTCTTGGTTGGATGTGGAATGTATTGATGTACTGGAACACTTGTTATATTTCACTTCTTGTATTGATGTTCTTCGATAAAACACTGATAAAACTCACTTCGATAAACTGTCTTGATAATACTGGCTGATTGACTTCCATATGTTGACTGAATTACATGTCGGTTTACATGTATCTTATATAGTAAAATGAACCTGTGTGAACCAGTTCTGCATGATTCTAAATGCTTCTTTTCGATGCTTCTGGAAGCTTCTGGATGCATCTGGATGCTTCTGAATGTTTCTGGATACTTCTGGATGCGTCTGGATGCTTCCAGATGCTTCTTCTGCATGCTTCTGGAAACTTATGGATACTTCCTTTAATTATTAAAAAACTTCCGTGACGACGACACGGACCAGACTTAAGAAAATGAAACAAACCAAAAAAGTTGCACTTGTTTTGTCCGTTGCAATATGGCACTTTTTCACCGAAATTCTGCCCGTGTGCTGTCACCTGCCAGCTGATTGCTCATGTCATGGCATGCTATGGCTCCAGATTGTTTGCTGTTGTAGTATAGTTCGTTTCGTTTTTAAGACATGTAAAATTAGAAACACTTTTTAGCATTGTTCGATGATGGTTGCAAACGTTTTGTCCAATACTGTATATTTTTTTTTTTTAATTTACTTAAATGTAAAACAGTACCTTGACTACTAATGTTATAGCTCATAATGCTACCAAGCAATGTGATAATTTCCCTATTCAACTATTATTTTTTACTCTGTTATTCCCTGGGAAACAATGGCATTTAAATTTCATGATTTTAAATCCAAGAGAATTTTGGGATCTTAATTTATCGTTTAACTCTTAATTTCATGCTAAATTTGTACCACAATTATGTAAAAAGTTATTAATTTATGTTTAAAAATAAGATTTTTATTATAAATATTTATTTTGCTACTATATATGACGTGTAAACTCTAAACTTATCAGTCTCAAAAAATCACTGATTGTAACCATTGGTGATTGCAATGATTGGAGCTAAATTACCAACAAAAATGTTTATGGGAGTTAAGAAAGTGAATTTTAGTTAAAAAAGTTCTTTTTCACTCTCCAGCAGTGCCGGACCGTATTATAAGGCAAATAAGGCAGCCGCCTAGGGGCCCCAAAAAGTTGAAAATGAAGAAATTAAAATTAAGTTCATTATCGTGTTTAAAAGGAATTGTAGTAAAATATACAGTACTTACATCAATTTTGTCATGATTTCCTGTATAAATATTAATAATAAAAATTTCTTAAAAATTAAAGAAAAATAAATATATGTAAGGGGGGGGGGGGAGGGGCTCCACATCCATGTCTGCCTAGGGCCCCCAAATTTCTCTGTCCGACACTGCTCACCAGGATTAAAGTAAGAATCACATTAGGAACCCTCACTTGCATTTTTAGTAATCTTAACATTAGATGCAGCCTTTTTTTTATGTGTAATCTTATCTAGTAATCTCTTATGTGTAATCTATCTAGTAAAAATCTAGTAATCTTAACATTAGATGCAGCCTTAGTTTTTTATGCGCTTAGAGGGTAAGTATTAAGGGTCCTGTTTAGTTCAAACGTTTTTGAGAATTTTTTTTTCTTTGATATTTGTTCTTAATCTAGATGGTATTTTAGATATAAAAATTTCATCAAATTTCCTCTTGCATTTACAAGCAAATAGACGATTAATCAAATAAAATTTTTTGTCTTAGATTACACTACAGGTTTTGGTTAGTGTTTTGATATCCATATTTGGCATAATTCGTATTGCTGGGGAGTTAAAGGACATCCACGCTGCTGCGGAATTAGCTAGCAAATCTTGGGAAACACTTGGAAACAGAGCATCCTTTTTTACATTTACTCATAGAGGTCAGCAACTATTTCAAGACAAGTAAATAAGAGTGCATATCCAGTGAAATATTGGAGAATGTTTACCCAGTGAACGTTTCCGTTATAGATCTTTTTGAAAGTTTATTGTTTCTTGGTTTAACTTTAACTGATAAGTAATTCTTATGCCGTAATAGCATGAGTTTTTTTTTTTTTTTTACTAAATAAACATTGGGACGCTAAAGTTTTTTTTTAATTGTTTAATTTTTATTTATTTGTTATAAAGAAAATATGATTTTTATCAAAAATTATTGATTTTAACAAAATGATCAACTCTATCGTGAACTTTTTAAAGTGTTTACTGCGTTTTTCACGTTAATTTTAAATTAGGTAACCTTTTTCTCGTTCTAAAGAATCGCTTATTTTACAGCATTAAAAGTTTTAGTCAATTATTGATGTTATGTTAACAGACGTTAATTTAAAAATTTATATGTTGATATGGAAATAACAAGAGAAAGTGTATTCAATCCTCCACTTTTTAAACAAAGGTACGAAGCTGTGGCTCAAATTATTAATCAAACGCAAGCGAAATCCGTCTTGGATATTGGTTGTTCAGAAGGAAAATTTTTGACTTACATGAAAGAAAAATGCACTTCGGTAGAAAAAATTATTGGGGTAGACATTGATCGTTCTCTTCTTGAAAACAACACTTATTTTATACAACCAAAACCTTTTGAGTATATTGTTAAACGTACTGTTCCGCTGAACATCAGCCTTTTTTGTGGCTCAATTACTCAATCAGACGTTAGATTTCATCACGTTGACTTTATAAGTTGCATTGAAGTTATCGAACATTTGTATGATGACGTCCTTTCTATGGTTCCGTATAATATTTTTGGAATATTAAAACCGAAAACTGTTGTCATGACAACGCCGAATGCAGAGTATAATCAATTGTTTAAAGGTTTTTCTGGGCTTAGGCATAATGATCACAAGTTTGAATGGACAAGAAATCAGTTTCAACAGTGGTGCTCGCGTATTGAAAGAACTTACGGGTACAATGTCGAATTTGATGGTGTCGGAGCGCCACCGGCTGACTCAAAAGTCGGTTATTGTTCACAAATAGCTGTTTTTAGGCAAACAGATAATAAACTTCCTATTGAGCATAATGATTTAAAATATTTAATGGACTTGCATTCAGGCGTTATATGTCATCATGCTTCGGAAAATGACGGAGTATGTCACCGATCTCTTGATGAAGTTATAGTGCCGCTATGTCAAAAATTTAATTGTAATCAAATCGAAGTTTGTCACTGTACGTCTTATAAAACAAAATTGAACAAGTATAAAAGCTTTGAAAACGCCGAAAACTTTTCACTTGTATTTCAAGTTGAGTATCCGTACGATAATTTAAGTTTAAACTTGGAGCAAAAGATATTAGACGAGATCGGTTATAATATCTTTCTCTTTTTTTCGGATACCGATGATCAGTTGGAGGAAGTGATTGAAAAACGTGTTCCAGTCAAATTTTTTCATTCACTCTCCAGCATCGCAAAGTTCAACGTAAATTGTGACCAGCTAACGTCAATTATTCGACAAAAATTTAGAATTAGCGACGACAATCAGCATGTTATTTTTAATGTGACGTTGAACTCACGACAATGGTATAATTATAGCGATGATGATATTGAAGAGGAGGATGAAAAAAGATACGAGCCAAGTAATGAGTTTATTATTGACCATATTGAGGAAGAAGAAAGTTGGGATTGATTTCGAAAAAGAAACTTTTAATATAATATTGCGGACTTAAAAAGTATTAGTGCAGATAAAAAGCTTATGAAAATATTAGTAACTAAATATAAGTTAAAATTCTTTTTTCTTAAAAAAATTTCATAAAAAATAAAAGTTTTTCTTAAAAAAAAACTTTTTTTTTTACTTATTATTAGTTTGTTAATATATGTTTTTTTTTTATTATGAGTTTGAATTATTTTATACAACCAAAGAAAAACATGTGTAATCTCGTTTGTGTTGCTGCGAAAAAATGATCCGGAATCCCTACCTCATTTTGCCAGAAAAGCAGACATGCATTTATGATTGAATGGCGCCACCTTTATCATTTAATGGTGCAAACTTTTATTGATCACATCAGAAGTAATAATTTCTGTTGCACGCGGAACTTTAATAACTTTCTAATGTTGCCAGTTTTGTTTGAATAGTCTCTACTTAATCACTATTTTTAGCGCGTGATAAAAACTTGTGATATCTTGTAACAACAAAATTGAGCTGCTGGAATTATATTAGGTTGTTACAGGTGGTTGCACCCCAAAAACTACATGAAAGTAGGAGAGCCTAGAACTTTTTTCTTGAGAAAAATAATATTTTTTTAAGTTATTACTATTGAAAGATAAGCCTAAATGGGGTTCTTCCTGATAGGTATGGTTTAATATGTCTCGCTTGTTTTCTTTAGCTTGAGTGTTGAAGCTGACTCTTTTTTTCGCCATGCACCTCAAAAACCATATTAACTAATTTGGCTATAATATCTTAACTGTTAAGAATTTTAACCTGATTTTTTGAAGAAGGTTGTTATAATAAATTGCTCTTAGGATGATTGCATCACTGCTAACTTATATTTTATAGAACACTTCAAATGTACTACAAAAACCACATCATATGCACCCCAAAAACCACGTTAATTTTAAAGTTTCGTTAATTTTTATTTTTTGCATTATTTAATAGTAAGTAAAATGTAACCAACATTTCCGTTACATTTACGTATATACAAAGTAAAAAATCTTAGTACAAAAGCTGATGCCACAGTTGCCAGAAAACTAATGAAAAAAATAAGCAACTAGAAGCTGCTATAAATTGGTGCGAAAAAAACGAATGGGACATTAAAGACTGGTATGTTTCCTCGTATCAAAGATAGAGAGACAATCAACAGGCAATTAGATGGAAAAGTGATTAATGTACAAGAAAGAAGTTATTGTACTATACTTACAGAAAATGAAGAGGCATGTATTGTTCGTTTTATAAAAAATAAGAACATGTCTTTATAAGCAATTAATAAACAGGTTTCACAAATTATCATTAAATGCTCGAGCTGCACTAGAAAAAGGAAAGTAAGTTGAAATTAAATATTTAAACTTACAATAATCCTATGAAATCTAAATAGGATAATAAGAATCATCTTTATATTTAAAAATCCCTTTTTTAATCAGATAATTGTTTTTATATAACGGTCCTCTTTTATAGATTAAGTCAATCATTTTGGCTTCGCTTTAATGCTAAACATAGCAGTCTTACCATTAAGCGACAAGGAAGAGTGTCTATAAACCGTGCACTGAATTGTTCAAGGAAATGGCATGTAATCATTTAGGTATCAGTTTGAAAATTTGTATAAATAAGTATCAATCTACGTTTTTAAATATACTTATTTCCATGTTACATATATCAGATTCGCTTGCTAAAGAACTAGTAGAAGTTAGTGTTATGGTTAATGAAGAGAAAATTGAAGCAGGGGTTTGGAATGGCATTGTTGATACTAGTCGAATATTTTATTGTGATGAAACACCCCAATTTATAAACTCTGAGGTTGATGGTACCAATTCTGAACTATTTTATGCTGGCAAACAGGATGTATGTCAAATAATGTATAGAGAAAACAGAGAATGTGTCACGACTCAACCATTTGTTTCATTTTCAGGTATGCAATAGTGTGTGTTTTAAGAAAAAATGTATAAATAATATTACTTGCTTAAAATAATTTTCAATTTTTATTTTAAGGGCATATGTATGTGCCAGGTGATATTTAAATGTACTGGTATTACAAGTTGTATGGTTCCGACAGAAGCAGCAAATAAAATTCCACATTTGTTGGTTACAACATCAGAAAATGGAGTATCAAACCATGAATCATTCTTGGCAGCATTGAAAGAATCGATGTCTACTTAAATGAAAAAAATGTTAAGCGACCCATCATCTTATAGTCAGATGGACATAACTCAAGACTAGACTTTGATATTTTATCTTTTCTTGAGTTGAAAAAAATTCGTCTCTTTGTCACTCCACCAGACACAACAGGAATTACTCAACTTCTTGACCAAGTAAATAAGAACATTCATAGCGAGTATCGTAACTAGAAAGACCTTATGTTTTCAGCTATCTGCTCCTTAAATCAAGAAGCTTTCATGTTAGTTTTAGCTAATATATGGGACAAATGGGTAATCAAAGAAACTATTATAAAATCTGCTAGAAGGGTTGGTGTCACTGAAAACTCATTGAGTGATAAATTTGAGCTGGAAACTGTATTGAAGCAGAGAAACAGTCATCTCCCTTAATTTCTTTGCCTGATAAAAGACGTGGTTCAGCAAGTTACTGAAAATCAAAGTTGGAACTGATTGATGAACTTCATGAAAAAAGTATTCAACTGGAAGAATACCAGGTTTTATGGTAACCAAAAAGGTAAAGCCTAAATTATCAAAAGATATGACACGTGTTACCCAAGTACATGGTTCAATGACAGCAAACAATGTATTAACTGTAGTTGAATCCATAAAAAGAATCAAAGAAAAAAAGTTAAAAAAAAAAGATCCTGCAAAAAAAAAAAAAGAGGAAGTTAAAAAACTTTTTATAAAATGTATGCTTCAATGTAATTGTGCAGACATAAAATGTAAAGCTTTCGGCTTAAAGCAGTTTCCAACCTGTCTTAATGTTATGAAGTCTGTTTGCAGCAAAGTAAATTGCAAAGTAAATGGACGAAGTCCAGAAATGATCTTATTAGGAGGTACTAGAAAAAATGAACCAATTTTTTAATGGGATATTTCTATAAATTTTGTGCAAATTTAGTGAAAAAGATTGTCTCTGGTTAATACTTTTTTTAATGCACCCCAAAAACCACATGTTGAATTGTGCATTTTAATTGTTATTTTTGCGTGTTTCCCTTCTACTTATAATGCAAATAGTTTGATTTATGTATAGAATATATAAAAGATAAGTTATCTTATATATTGTTGTCTTAGTTTTCTTTTATTTGGTATTGTGGTTTATCCTCCTCCGGCTAATTGCCATATAGAGGCCACATTACCAAGGTACCGCAAAGACAGGTTCATAACCCGCTCTACGGACCGAGAGTAAAGTGAGTTTCGGAAAAACGAAGAAATGTTAGAGTGAAAGACAGAAGTAGTCGTGTTAAAAAGACAGCATAGAGAAAGCGGACAGGATTGCACTCGATGTTAGGAGGAGCAATAAGTTGAAATAGGAACTAAAAACACAGGGACTAAAAAGTTTCAGTATGTGTTTTTTTCCGTCTAGTTTTCTTTTATTTTAAATGATACTGGAACATTCATGTATCAAAAAACATTTCTTTCGTGGTTTTAAAGTACAGCTTTAAATTTTTATAGCCATATAACTGACAACGCTGTTTTTTATAGCCATATAACTGACCACGCTGTTTTTTATAGCCATATAACTGACTACGCTGTTTTTGGGGTGCCTTAGTTTTTGCGGTGCATTCACCTGTATATGGTAATAAAATTTTTTTTTGATTTCTAACTTTTTCTACATACCAAAATTAGTTTTTTTTTTTTTTTTTTTTTGTATGTATTTAGATGCTCCCAGAAGTCCTTACGGTCTTATCATAGAGCACCGCGGGAAAGCATTTAACAGGGGGTTCACGCCTCCTTCCGTACCAATGTCAGGAGTAGGCGTCGAACCTCGGACCTCTGGGTTCTGAGCCAGAACTCTAACCACTGCGCCACGGCTGCTCTAAAGTTTCAAGGCTAAACAATACTTTATTTAATTAAAACTGCTGAAATAAAAATTTATTCATCTTTTTTATGCTCATTCAGCATTAAATGCAAAAAATCAATAAAAAAGAAAACTATATTTTCTCAGGTTTTCTTATGACATTACAAGCTAAAACTTACAACACTGATGGATAACAGTGTAATAAACAAAACCTTACTTAAAAAACTAAAAATAATTATTATTTTTAATATGGCAGCTTATTTACTTTTAAAAGAATATCGATGCAAAAATCTTAGGTAAAATATAAATATATTCAAATGGAAACAAGTTTAGGGTTAGTTCTAGCAAGGTATTGCAGTTCTATCTATAATGAAACAACCCTGAAAATTTGAAGTTAATTGCATATCTGGTTAAAAAAAAACTAATGATTTGCTGTTCGCAATCAAAAAAATACAACTGAGAAATCAAGCTTCAAAGTTTAAATAACAATATATTAATTAAAAATTTCCTAATCTCCCTTTAGCTAACAACATCAGATTTATATATTTTTTTCTTATGTAACTTAGTAATTAAACAAACCCAAAAATAAAAACAACTATTTAAAATTTTGTTGTAAGATAAATATATCAATAACAAATTTGGTTCCTATGGACATAACTAAGTAAATTTCTTACCTTGTAATCATTAAAGTCAGTTTGTAATTATTTTTGTCATTAAAACATTGTTGCTATATATGGTTGAAAAACCGGCAAAATTTTACACAAAGTTGCCTATTAAACTAAAAATTAATTTTTTTTAATGAAAATCGCTAAGTTTTCACCATATAACCACTAATAAAAGTATGATATAAAAATATTGAACTTGATCATTTTTGAGTTCGACTCTTTCTTCCTTGAATCAGTATTGCATATTACTTCATGGAAAACCAAAAAGTTTGGAACCTTTATTGTGAAAGGACCAAACTTAGCCGAAAAAAATATTAAATCCTAAAAAATAGATATAGGCAACATGGCCCTCTAAACTTGTATCTAAAATTAACAATTATTTTTGCTGATTGCACTAATTTATTTATGTCACGCAAAAGCATTACTACTCTATTTCATTACGTGAACATTGA